AAGGACCTGACGGTCAAAAGATCAACTTACAACTACGATTGGAAGCCATGACCCATAATTCGGCAGAGTATGAAGCTTTAATTTTGGGTTTGGAGGCTTTAATAGCCAGGAAGGTCCAGTCTGTAATCATAAGAGGGGATTCTCAACTAGTAATCAACCAGGTAAACAATCAATATGTTTGCAATTACCCTCATCTTCGCAGATACAGGGATATTGTGGGTCGGTTACTGACAAGAATCTCAGAAGTAATAATTGAGTTCGTTCCGAGGAAAGAAAACCAACGTGCTGATGAATTGGCTCAAAGGGCCTGTAAAGGAATTCTGGAGGGTATGTGGTCGGAGGTCAAGTCGGGCATAGAAGGAAAGACAGACCCAATATGCGAAGTTACGGTCGGGCAGGAGATTGTCGGACAGGAGCCCGATTGCGAAGTTATGGTCGGGCAGGAGACTGTCGGACAGGAGCCCGACTGCGTAGTTGCTGTCGGACAGGAGCCCGACTGCATAGTTGCTGTCGGACAGGAGCCCGACTGCGTAGTTACTGTCGGGCATGAGCCCGACGGCGTAGGTACAGTCGGACACAGAGATGCCAGTGAAACAGTGCCCGATTGGAGAACAGAGCTTATCAGGTATTTACAGAATCCAGGTGCGAGTGTTTCAATTGCGACACGATTGAAGGCTTTACGTTTTCAATTGATAAATGGAATTTTGTATAAGAGATCATTTGAAGGTTTACTTTTGAAATGCTTGGGGTCTAAAGAAGCTCTAGAGGTAATGACAGAAGTACATGGTGGGATATGTGGAGCTCATCGGGCAGGTCTGAATATGAGATGGGCCATTCATCGTTTGGGTTTTTTCTGGCCAAAGATTTTCGAAGATTGCATACAATTTGCCAAAGGGTGTCAGGAATGTCAGAGACATGGAAATTTAAACCATTTGCCAGTAACCGAATTGCAATTCTTGGCAAAACCATGGCCTTTTAAATCATGGGCTATGGATATTATTGGTAAAATACATCCTGCTTCATCGAAACATCATTGTTTCATATTGGTCGCGATTGACTACTTTACCAAATGGGTAGAAGCAATTGCTTTGAAAAATGTGGATCAGAAAGAAGTGATAGATTTCGTTTTGAACCAAATCATTTATAGATATGGTATTCCTCAGTCTATAACAACCGACCAGGGCCTAGTTTTCACAGGGGAAAAGTTCTCTACTTTCTTGGCAGAATTTGGTGTCCGATTACATCATTCGTCACCTTATTATCCCCAAGCTAATGGACAAGCGGAAGCAGCAAATAAGATCATCATTGGGATTATCAAGAAGATGGTTGAGGGGAACCCAAGAAAGTGGCATTTGTTATTGTCTCAGGCTTTATGGGCACAAAGGAATACCAGAAATACAGCCACAGGATTCTCACCGTACCAACTCACTTTTGGCCAAGATGCTGTTTTACCAGCCGAAATCCGAGTATCATCTGGCCGAACAGAGTTTACTGATGGTGATTTTACAGAAGAATACCAACAACTTATGTTGCAACAGTTAGAAGATTTGGATGTTAACCGACTCCATGCAATAGGGCGAAGTGTGAAACAGAGTGAAATCAGAGCAAGGAGTTATGGAAAGAAAGTTCTTCACAGGACATTTCAAAAAGGAGACCTAGTCTGGAAGACCATTCTTCCTACATATAAGAAAACTGACCAATTGGGAAAGTGGTCACCGAATTGGGAAGGACCATACATTATTCAAAAAGATATTGGGAATGGTGCTTTCATTATCGTAAATCATGAAGGTAAGAGAGTACATGATTGTATTAATGCTAAATATCTGAAGAGGTATTATCCTGCCTTTTCAGATAACAAAACTGCCAGAAGCAAACTATTATTCAGAACCCACTTGTGGGGTTCGAACCTATTTAAAGGTTCATTTCTGTTAGTCATCATGTATTTGTGAGAAATTTTCTGCCTCTGAATCAGACTTTTCATCCCAGTGAGTGGATATTAGTTCTGGTTCTTCTTCAATAAGATCTTCCAAGTCTGGTCGGTACCTCTCCCATTGGCTTTGCATTTCGTCTAAATCTTGATTGGTACGTGCTTGCATATCCGTTATGGCTTGATATTCACGGTCAACAATGGTACGCAATCTTGAAAAGACTTTTCGTTGATTGGAGAATATGTTATCCCAACCAAGATCTGGAAGTATGGTTGCTGCGTGATTTTCTATCATTTCCATGTGATGATGGAGGTCAGGAATGCGACCAAGGATGTCACGAAGAGGTTCATACCCCTCAATGATTTTTTCCATTAGGCGGATGACGCGATGAATGGTTCTTCTACCTCGTTGGGAGAATCGGAATTTGAAGTCTAGTTGCTTGAGTATATGTAACAAGTTTTCTGCATGGCCTCCAATAGGGTGATTACCTACAAAGAAGGGTTGAAGAACACCCTCCCAGTTGCTTGATGGAACATGAGGTCGGTCATTCGCCATGTTTGTTAACACTTCAAGTGTTTTGGTTTTCAAAATATGCCTTGGAATGTGTTTCTTAAAATGTGAGAAACAGTGTTCTTTTAAAGAAGGAGTTTGTTTCGATTCCTACAAAGCCAAAAAAGGATAAAGGCAGTATGCTCCCGGTCGGTCACGGGGGTCCCTGGAGCCCCTTGCTGGTCGGTTGCGAACTTTGTCCAACCCCATTCCTTCACACCTTGTAAAGACCACCCTGGATGGTCTTCTGATGGCTCCTGCCCATCTAGGGCTCCCATCACAGGGTCTTCACCCACGACTGGGAGATGCGCGATCATTGCCACATCCATAAGAGTTGGACCAAAGGGGCCCGATGGTAAGAGAAACGTCCCATTTTCCGCATTCCAGAAGGCAGACATGGCCAAGAGCACCTTCTCATGCAGATTGATCGGCATGGTGGACAATAGTATTGCTTGGTCGATTTTTTGAGATCGCCATTGGGTCTGGAAGTGTTCTGCTACTCGTCGATACCAAGAGCGGTAAGGATCTTTTGGGTCTGTGAGATGGGTTTTGATGCTGTCTCGAATGCGAACTGCTTGGTAGTTAGGGTTGTTGATAGCCAAGGAATTTCGAGATTCCAAAACTTCCCTTATCCGATTTGAGTCTTCAGGAGTAGTGCAATATGGGCGGATCGTCGGAGTTAGTACTTTCGAGGCTGAAAATGGGCCCTCTGGGAGGGTTCCGTCGAAAGGAAGGGCAGGAATGTATTGATTCGCCATGGTTAGAGTGTTTTGGGATTGTGATTCACAAAAGCTCGTATTGCGGAGAAGGAAGTTAATCAGGAGTGTTGCAGTAACTGGTGCAGTTGCTAAGGGAATTTTTCAAGAGGGTAGTGATTTATGAACTTCCAAACATTGATTGTTAAATGGCGTTTGAAAGTCCCTTGGCGGCGGGCAAGTTGTTACGTACGAAATTTAGAATTAGGTTAAAAGCCCAAGGTAAAAAGAAGAATGGGCCTGGCAATAGAGTTGATTGAACTAGCTCAAGGAAAATAGGTTTATTTCTAAGGAAAGTCCTCAGGACGGAAGGACCTCAGGTCGGTAGGTCCTCAAGACGGAAAGACCTCAGGTCGGAAGGTCTTCAGGTCGGTAGGTCCTCAAGACGGAAAGACCTCAGGTCGGAAGGTCTTCAGGTCGGGAGGTACTCAAGACGGAAAGTCATCAGGACGGAAGGACCTCAGGTCGGTAGGTCCTCAAGACGGAAAGACCTCAGGTCGGAAGGTCTTCAGGTCGGGAGGTCCTCAAGACGGAAAGTCATCAGGATGGAAGGACCTCAGGTCGGTAGGTCCTCAAGACGGAAAGACCTCAGGTCGGAAGGTCTTCAGGTCGGGAGGTCCTCAAGACGGAAAGTCATCAGGACGGAAGGACTTTAGGTCGGTAGGTCCTCAAGACGGAAAGACCTCAGGTCGGAAGGTCTTCAGGTCGGGAGGTCCTCAAGACGAAAAGTCATCAGGACGGGAAGTCCGCAGGTCGGGAGGCCCTCAGGACGGGAAATCCGCAGGTCGGGAGGCCTTCAGGACGGGAAGTTCTCAAGTCGGAACTCTGCGGCAGGACCAACAAATCGGATGGTTTGTTAGTCGGGATGTCTGTAGCTACTCCAAATAAGTCAGATGGTTTGCAAGTCGGGAGGATTGGCAGTCGGACCAATGCGGTTGTAGATTGGCAGTCGGGCCAAAAGGGCGGAAGGTCTATGGTCGGCTCAAAGAGTGGAATATAGGGATAATTTTGGTCTGCTGAGGACACGTGTCAGCAGGAGAAGGATTGGAAGACGGTTGGGAAGGAGACGTTGTAACCGTTCGGGCGACGGTTTTCAGTACAGTTCCCCAGAGAATATTTAAGGATTTGGATCATCATTTGACAAGGCATCTTCAATCAACTTCAACAAAGCAAAGTCAGATTTGGGGATCACCACTTTAAATTTCAGTCTTTTATTTTCCAGTTTATTTTCTGTACCATACAGTGTTTAGAGATTCCTAATCTCAGGCACTAATTAATCAAGTTTAATAGGATATTTTCTATATCTTTGAATTTTACTTTATTTTTGTTGAAAAATTACATCAACAATAATATATTAATTTTTTTAAAAAAATATGTTAATTACAAAATAAAAAAAAAATTTGTAAAAAAAAGTGTAGGAAAAAAAAATTAACATAATACATACAATTTTTCTTTTCCTTTATTTTCTTTTCTATACTAAAAAAAACTCCCTCCAATCTTGTTGCATTGGACACGAGAGTTAAAAGAATATTGATATTATATTGGTATTTGATAAAAAGTAAGTATATTAGTGTAAAATATAGTAACAATTATACGAATAATTTTATGATAATATAATTACTTATGAAAATAAAAATTATATTGGTACGGAGGGAGTATAATTTTAAATAATTTTACAAAACAAATGCACCAATAATTTTTCAATAAAATCCGTCAAATGGAAGTAGACAGTAGACACGCTATGGCTTACTCATTTATCTTTGCCATATACATATACATAAACATGACATAACAGAGCTCCCCGAGGAAATAGGAAGGATAAGGAGACGCAGGCGCAGTTCAGATAAGAGCTGCTCGTCGGGGCCATGGAAACTGCAAGTACAGGGTATCTTCTCCGATGTTCCGCTCCTCATTCTGCTTCCCTATTGTCCTTTAACCCTCTCAAAGTCAAAACCCATTTCAGCTTCTTATCCAATTCACCGAAAACCACCCCTGTTACTCCCTTCTCCAATCGGCCTCCTCTCCTGCGTTTTCCCTGCCCCAGGGCCAGGAGTTCCCCCCTCACAATTAGTAGTAGTAGTAGTAGTAGTAGTACTAGCGGGGGCGGTCATGTTGCTGCTGACATTCCTAACCACGATTCTGAAACTCTAAGTGAGACTTCCAATTCTGAAGACACGCCCGCGCTCCCCAAAGTTGACAAAAGCGGCAGATTTTGCAGCCCCCGAGCTGCCCGAGAACTCGCTTTGTAATGCTTTCTTCTCACTTCTAGTTCCTCTTTCTGCTAGCTGTTGGATGATTTGGAAAACGATTCTTCTTTGTTGCGCTGTAGGACGGTGCTGTACGCGGCATGCCTGGATGGGTCTGATCCGCTTCGGCTTTTTGAGAGAAGACTGAATGCTAGAATAGGTCATTTGTCTCTTAGTCTCATATTCACTCTCCCTTTATAGTTTGATGAACGATACTGTACCTATTTGTTGTGTTGTTACTTCAGATAATGAGTATGAATTTAATAAAGCGGCACTGTTGGAGTACAGCCACATGAGCTTTGGGGGACCTCCGGTTTCAACAGAGACTATGGAAGAAGCCAACGAGATTTTGCGTAATGACGAAAGAGAGTCTAACATTGGTAAGTCAAATATCTTTTGGAATCTCAAGGCATGTTTCTTTCTGCTATTAATTATATATGTATGTGTGTTGTGCAATACATTATAAATATTTGTAATGCACCAGAAGAACTGTATGTAGATATCTTCTTTTGTCTTGGCATGTTCAAAATTCCTTATTAAAGGAGTTAAGTGAGCTAAAGTATTCCACTTCTCTACAGTCAAGGCCGTATGCAACTAACACAATTGGTGTTTTAATCCTCCAATAAATATCATGAGTAGACTCATGGATGATTGTTATTTGGGTGCTCAATATTCCATTGGACTTAAAATCGGCTAATATAAGAAACTAGCTTCAAGTGGTAAAAGGAGGTACAAGGATTAGGTGAATAGGATGTTTTGCTCTTGTTCTCGCTCTGATGCTTCTCACTGACTTGGATATATATATATATATACATCCATGTTATAAACAGGTATTGTTTGCCTTTGCATCTGCATATATTATATGCATGTAATTTTATGCCATTGTGATGACTGTGCATGGTCATTATGCGTGGAAAAAAAAAGTCTTTCGGATAGGGAATGAGTAACTTTGTGGCTTTTTTATTTTTCAGAAGCTGAAGTTCTTTCAGCTCCCCTGAAGTTGGTCTACAGCAAATTAATTTTGCGGTAAGCCACTTTATTCTAGCTAGAGTAATTTACAGTCTTTGATACACCATCTGTATGACTGTATCTAACATTGCAGATTTACCCGAAAACTTCTGGTAGCAGTTACACAAAACTGGGACAGTAATGTTACTGCAATTGACATAGTTGCACCCCTTAGTTGGAAGGTTTGTTTTGCTTCTAAATGATATAAATCTGTGTGTCTTGGTTTACACTTGTCATATGTTGATGCGAATGAATTTCTTCTGTTTTTTTGAACAACAGTTGTATCTAATATTTGAAAATGAAGAAATAAGTGATTCAGTTGTTCTCCTCGAGCAATAATTTTTCAACGAAGTTCTAGTTGGCATCCATTTAGTAATTGTTTTTTCTGCAGTTTACTTGCATTTATCGATTTCTGAAACAAAGTGATTTGAAGGAGCGAATATCTTTAACGAGAAGAAAAGTACAAATTTTACTAAACATACTACAAGGGAAAACCCTTGGCAATGCTGAAAAACTTACTAAATTATTCAATAAGACTATTCTATGACTCAATATTTTATAAAAAGAGAGATATACAATCTACTGATACCTTTCTTCTTTGCTGACTTTGATTCAGAGAGAACCAGCCAGTAGAATCCTGGAGTTCTCAATTCTTCATTTAGCTATATCAGAAATAATGATTCTTGGGACAAGACACCAAATAGTCATTAATGAGGTTTGCTTTTCTCTGTTACCTTTTTGCATTTTCAGAAATCACTTATGTAATTACTGCACTTATTCTTGTCTAGAAATGCATATATTCTTGTGTTCCTTCCTATATAGTAGACCAAGAAGGTCTCTGAAGCTCCTATCTTATTGGGACATTTTGGAGTCTTTCAAGGAGTGTTCATGTGGAAGATATGTCGTAGTTAAAAGCATTAACTGGTTCTTATTCTATAGTAGCTTCTCTCAATACTTCTTTGTTGGAAAAAAATGAATTCAATTACATGAAAAAGAAAACCATTGTAGCGTCTCTTTCTTGTACTTAACAAGATCATTTTATCTTCATAGTGTGCTCTTTTTCCTTCTCATGTTTCAATCTCTTCCTTTTGATACTTCTCTCTCTCTCTCTCTCTAAATTTTTAAAGTACCTATCCTTTCTTGTTATTATTAAAGCATGGATGATTATAGGCCCATTGTACTCTATATATAGTCATTGCCTTTTGTGGTAGTCTTTAGGCTTTGGAAGTTATTGAGTTGAATGACGTACTGGTTTTATCCTCTTTATCACCATAACAATACCATAACCTGCCCCATGGATGTAGGTTTAATTGGTCGAACTATGAATGGTTTTGTTCAATTTATATCCTTTTTCCAGTCTGATGGATGGAGGACTAATTTGCAAAGTAGGTTGTGTTTTTTTGTGGGTTTTAACATGTATATCTACTATTCAGATTCTCCTTTCCCTCCAAAAATATCACATCAAACAATTACTTCTTTTTTTATATTATACTACAAATTTATTTTACATTCAGAACATCGCATCAATATATATTTATATCATATCAAATAACTATTCAAGTTCAACTTTTTACTATTAAAAAATCCAAACCCAAAATTCCAAACCCACAAACAAACACACTCGTAGTGTCTCAGTCATTTTACTTCTTGTTTCTTTAGATATTATTGATGTATGATTTCAGTGCTGTTTTGAATTTCTCACTGCTTGATTCAAATACTAGATGAAATAGTTTGTCATATGTATTATTGCTCTAATTTTATTATATTGTAAACTCTTTATACTTGAGTTGATTTTGTGGTTAAAATGTTTATGAGGAAAACTATTTTTGTTCATGACTTTTATCGTTTTAATACCCCATATCTAAACTTTGTATTGAATTAGTCCACAACTAGAAAACTTTGGCAGAAATGATCCTCAGATGTTGGCGATGGAATGGTTGGCGTGGCAGCATCGTGGCATGCCAAAAATTATATGAATCACAAGTAAACATCTACCCTAGGATCATTTTAGAACCATAAATATACCATGTATTGGATTAGTCTCATAATTAAAAATTTTTGACAGAAATGATGCCACGCAAACAAGTCCGGTGCGTGAAAACCATTTTTCCAGTTTTTCTAAGTTGTGGAACTAATTATAGGTCTAGTTATGATCCTAAAACGATAAGGGGTCAACTGGTCTAGTTTATGCACCCTGTATTTCTACTTTTCTGAGGAGTTTTTATACGTAAGTGTGCCATGTACTGTAGAGTAGTGCGTAGTGACTCCAAACATCATTTTTGTGAACATTAAAGTTTGGTCACACATGGTTCTGAAATGTTTGTTGTTAAGGAATATAAACATGTCTCTGGTTGAATTTGTTGAAGCTAGGCTGTTGACCTTGCAAAGCGTTTCTGCGATGGAGCGGCACCTCGTGTAATAAATGGTTGCCTGAGGTCTGTTATGAAGCAGCAGAGCTTTGCAGGTGAAAATGGGAGAGAGAGTATGAGAAGTGTAGACCGGCTGAGGGTTCCCCCAAAATTGGAGCAGCTGCAGGTTAATGGAATGGACAGATAAGAGAAGAGAAGAGGGTAGAGTTGGCAGGCAGGAGGAGGCAGGGATGCATGACAGAGTCAGTTGTAGAAGACAGACTGGTACGACTGAAGTAAGGATTAGTGTTGATCAGAATACAACACTTCAAACGGAGTGTAAAATATGCAATAGATAGCAAGGCGGGAGGGGGTTGGCTTGGCTTGGCTTGGCTTGGCTGTGCTTTGCTTCCTCTGTTTAATACTCTTCTGTCAGATTTTTTTTCTTATTTTTTTTGTTTGTTAGTCTATTTAAATTTATATATTTTTATTTATAGTAGATAACTTTATTTAATTATAGTTTTATTATTCATTTATTTTTTCCTACTCAAAATGGCATAAGAATTCCAGGCCGTAACGTCCTTAAATTTGGTTTGGCAGACGGAGAGTACTTGTTTTTTTTATTATTATTAAAAACTAATAATATTTTATTATTTAATAATATAAAATAATACATTAGATAAGGATGAGAGTACTTTCTTAATTAAAATATCAATTATTTTCTTTGTTATAATTATGTCAATTTTTTAATGTAAATTAAATTTATAAATAATTTTACTTACAGCATCACTTTTTATTAGTTTTTTAATAAATTTTTTATAATATTTTCACTTAGCATGTCATTATTTTTTTTTATTTTTATGCCGAAATAAAGTGGCATAATTAGAACAACTGCAATGACTTGTTTTTGGAGGCTCGAATTCTATATTTAGAAGCTATGTTTTGGCTTATCAAAAAATTCATTCCACAGAACTACTGTCAGTTACCACGTTATTAAAAAAAAAATAAAATAAAATAAAATTCATTATGCTGCTGCGAGTTACTACGTCATTAAAAAAAATTAAATAAAATAAATAAAATAAAATTCATTCCACAAAGGCAGACTGTTGAAGATATTATATGTCACATTCAAATTGTCGAATAAAGAAAGTCTTAGGAAAGCAATAGTCTTAGATAAATAGTCAATCCAAAACACTTCATCTCTTCATTTCCTATCCTTATATACATATATATATATATATTGTCAGGCCGTCCTCGGAGGATTTTAGGTCCTGAGAAAAATTAAATGACAGGCCCTATAAAAAAAAAAAAAAAAGGTTTAAATATCATCAATGAACAATACAATAATAAATTTCACAAAAATAAAAATTATATTAATCATATATATAATAAATGAAATATATGTGTCCTTAAAGGATGGACTGTTGGACCTAGTCTATGATAGATATCTTAACTATTATAAAATTTTACAATATTTTGACTATTATAAAGTCAATAACTCAATAATATTAATTCTAAATTCTAAAGGCAAAGAATATAAGATTAGAAAAAAATTTTGTTAGGGATTATCAGAATTAGAATTGTATTAGATAATTGTAAAAAATATATAAATATATATAAAATAAAATTTAAATTAAATTTTAATATATCTAATAATAATTATGGACTTTATAAATATTTACGAATTTTAAAGGGAGTAAGATGAGATTATAGAAAAATTATGATTAGAATTTAATTTTAATATATTTAATAATAGCTAAAATTAAAAAATATGACCCCTTTTAAAGTAGAGGTCCTGAACAATTGCTTAGTTACTCTTGCTAAGAGCCGGCTCTGTATGTAGTTTCTTTGCGTTGGAGCTAGACACACTTTGATGTTAGAAACAATGGGTAAAATTGTTGATCACCGTTAAAGTTGTTTCTCGTCAACCTAACTTTCTACCTACCTTAATTAGCTAATAATTAACTAATTAAATAAATCACTTTAATACATCCTCCATTAAATAATTTAATACGAGGCTATTATTAAAACACACTGATGTTGTATTGTGTTAGGTTATTTTTGAGAAACCATCGTAAAAAAATTATTCTAGTATTGTTATTATACTGGTGTGTTTGGTTACTGCAGCAAGTTGACACTATACTCCATTTTCCTTTTTCTTGAAATATTACATTATATGGGATCAATTTAAAATCTATTCAAAATTTTCTACTTCTACCTCTTTCATTTATAAACAAACTCCCTCTTTATTTATAAAATTAATTTATTTTAATTATATATAAATATTTATATTTTTTATTTATTTATATTATAAAAAATTTTATTCTCTACAAAATGTTATCTATTTTATTAAAATTCAGTCATTAAAATCATTAAATAGACATTTTAATTTTTTTAATTATATATATATACATCATAAATCAAATATTAATTAAATAAATCATTTTCAACCCAACTTTCATCTAAAAAAAATTTAACCGCTAACCAAACGCTACTACTTACAACAATTAATTTGTATATGCGTATGCAAATTTTGGGATCCTGTTTATTATTTATCTTAGATTTGTTTATGATAAAGTAAGTAATCAAATGTTATATCAAACACTAATTAGAACAGTATGCTTACATTTATCAACTGATTTTTTTAGTTCTAACATTTTTTTTGCATCTATTTAATAATGATCAAACTATTAACTTTTGCATTTGCAATAAATGTAGACAATATACATATCAATATATCTTACAATCAAGTACCTTGTATTGACTTGCAAAAATAAATTATAAAATACTACATATTATTTTCTTGTAGTATCCTGACATTATTATATTTTATGATGAAATTACAAAAAATATTAAAATATAAAATTTATCAATAATCTATAATTTTTAGTGTAGAGAAGAATCAAATAGTAAGAAAAATGATGAGTAAAAGAAAAATTGAAACTTCATCCAGTGGAAAAATAAGTTGTTGTGTTTGTTCGTTTGTGCATGTGTGAGTTTTTTTTCTTTTTTTTTGTTTTTTTTTTTTGTTTATGTTTGTTTGATTTTAGCTTCAAGGGCAAGTTTATAATTTGTTGGATCCTAAAATTCGGAGGTTTTAAAATAGTTCGTCGATTCGTCAGTGTGGGTTCCGGAAGTACTCCAAAGAGTATATCCATCATCTTATTAGAGGCGGCTCCTGCGATGAAGCCTGCACGGCGTCGATCTTAAACAAGGCTTTGAGCCTAAACGATTGATTTCGATGGATTTAAACTATCATCTACTAAAACTCGGATAAATCTACTAGAAAGCAGATAAATATATGCTAGATGATGTGCGTGTGTGTGATGTGTTTTTTTTTCTAGTTTTAATCCTAAGATAGAATAACCGTCTCTTCCCATTAAAATGAGCAGTTCCAATTATTCCTTCACCACTCTCAACCGCGTGGTAACCTCATTCCATCAGCTCCTAACCACCTGGTAACCTTCTTCCGTCAACCACCTAGTAACCTCCTTCCATCAACTACCTGGTAACCTCCTTCCATCAGCTTCCAACCGTTTCCATTGCCTCTGGACCGGGTTCCACTTGCTTCGAACTTCTTCCATTGCTTCTAGACCAGATTTGTCGCTTACTCCAACTTGTTTCCATCATACTCCTAGCCGGTCCACGGGGATGTGTCCCCAACAACCTCGAGTTACATAGAAGCTTCGGTTTTCCTCTTATTGGCTTGTTTCATGGAGCTTTTTGAATAAAATATGAAGGTGCATAGGCCCTCCACTAATGTTCAGTACAAAATTATTAACTCAGGGCCAATGGAGGTAGTTATCCTATGATATGTGGAAGCTGTTGCTTTTTATCTTGTAGAGGCAACCTTTATCTGCTTTGTGGAAGCACCGCAGTCCAATGGAGGTAGTTGTTTTCAACGCAATTGGGACAACAATTTCTGACCTTATAGAAACATTGTTCCGGGATAGAGGCGCCATAGTTCAAGGAGTTACTGCCCTAAGGTCCATGGAGGCTGCTGTTTTTGGCTCTGTGGAAGCACCACAATCCAATGGAAGCTGTTGTCTTCGGCTCTGTGGAGGCAGCAGTCTTTGGCTCCGAGGCTTGAAGCCCATTGTTGTTCGACGGCTCCGTGACCAAGGAGTTCTGGCTCCATTTTTATCTTTGAGCTTGCTTCACGTTCGGATGCTTTTGGACCCAAGTCCAACAATGCCCTCATCAAAAGGGCTGGGCGATTGCTTCCATTGAGCCCGTGTTCTTTTTCTTTGAGCCATTCGCTTGAATCGACTGTGGTCATTTCCGTCGACAAGGGATCCTTTTCGGCCTTCACTTCTTGGACTTCATTTTCATCCCAAAACATCAACGTTGATGGAGTGTCGAAGGCACACAATCGCATGCATGAATCCAATTTCGTCCCAAGAGAGCCGAATAGAATGGTCTACTATCGATCACTGTGAAAGTTGATGATATTTCTTTTGTTCCCACCTGCACACTCAAAGTGATCATACCTGCTGGTTTGTAAGAATTCCCCATAAAATCAGTAAGCCGTATAGATGTAGAAATCAAATCGTCACTAGTCTTTCCGAACTTCCACAGGGTCTCAATTGACAACATATTCACAAAAGCTCCACTGTTCACCAGAACTTGGTCAAGCGGATAGCCATTCATCGAGACTCGAATGTGCAAAGGCTTGACATGTTGGTTTTGGCCAGGCCTGAGCCTCTTAAATTCTATTATGGTTGCCACATTATTCCATTTGAAAATAGGCTCTTCATCAACGAAAACTTCCTCCAACTCTTGAAATTCTTCCGGAGGCTCCTTCATTTGCTTCCTTTGGGAAAAGACTCCACAACTTGGTTCCTTAGCGGCTTCACAGTCTACTTTCTTTCTGAAAGTGGCTCCCCAACTTGCTTCGTTTCTGAAAGCGGCTCCAGAACTTGCTTCCTTAGCGGTTCTAAAGCCTGCTTTATTTCTTGAAGCGGCTCCACAACCTGTTTTTTCTCTGAAAGCGGCTCCACAACCTGTTTTCTCTCTAAAAGCGGCTCCACAGTCTGCTTCCTTGGCAGCTCCATGGCCTGCTTTCTTTCTGGAAACGGCACCACAACCTATTTCGTTGGCGCCTCCATGGCCTACTTCCTTGGCGGTTCCATAACCTGCTTCTTTCTGGAAGCGGCTCCATAACCTGCTTCGTTGGCGCCTCCATGGCTTGCTTCCTTTCTGGAAGAGGCTCTACAACTTGCTTCCTTGGCGACTCCATAGTCTGCTTTATTTTTGGAAGCGGCTCCACAGCCTACTTCTTTGGCGGCTCCACAGCCTGCTTCTTTGGCGGCTCCATGGCCTGATTTCTTTTTGGAAACGGCTCTATAACCTGCTTCTTTTTTGAGGCGGCTCCAAAACCTGCTTCCTTAGCAGCTCTGCAGTCTGCTTCTTCTTTGGAGGTAGCTTTTTCGTTTGTTTTTCTTTCAGAGACAGCTCATGTGACCTTTCCTCCTCCATACGAGCCTCCAACTTTCTTCTTTGAGCTCGCCTCTTTTGAGTCCTGGTGAG